GTAATCACACCATCTGTAAGGACTGACTCCTCGCTGGGGGAACGAACATTTACATCGTGGTAGATACCGGGTGCAGCCCCACTGCATGTGGTAATACATTGTGGCGGTGAAAAAATCAGCTTCGAACTCGATATGATTGTCTGTAAATTGGAAGATGATGGGATATAATCGCATGTAAGGAAAAAATCCATAGTGCCGCGGTTGTTACTGGGTACAGCCCCACTTGATATGGTTATATGCGGTAGAGCTTGCACACGATTCGTGGCACCCTCTGCACTCGCAAAGGATTCATTCCAATCTAGTTGACACCTGATATCCAGTTCCAAATGGTCATGAGGGATAGAGGCGGAACTGTAAGGCCACACATGGGCAGAAAAGTTGGAAATAGTACCTCCATAGAGATCGTTTTGAGTTGCATCCACCAGGATCGATCTGTTCTGGCAAGCCTGATTATAGCTCTCCTCGAAGCGTAATGGAGTCCACAAGGACTGGGCTTTGCTGTATGCCGACCGTGTGCCCGTTGTGGTCCAATCAAAGAGCAACCGAATAGACTGCTCTAAGCGTATGGCATTGTGTGCAAGGCCTTTATGGACCCAAAAATCCTCATCGGTGAACATGACAGGACATTCACTGCCAGCTGGCGCTGTAGATCTGTAGTATGCCACGCAGTCACACTGGCCGTCACACCTTATGGGTCTGAATTGCTTCGAAGAACTGTCAGTAGGCCAGCTTGTTGGTATGTAGGATATGGGCAAGACTTGGCAGTCACCTCGGGCGAAATTTGCACCGCGCGCAGAACATCACTATTCTGATGTCGGAGAGCATGAAGTCTCTGAAGCTCACCCCTTAGGGGTTCTGTTGGTGACTCGAATGCTGGATCTGGTGTCGATTGTTCTGTCGAAAACGACTGAAAGTCCGTACTGACATAGGGGAAGACCTCGAAATGTCTTGGAGCACAAAATGTAAAGTTTGGCTGAGGCCAATCAGTGCAATCATGTGATACTGATATCATACTGTCGAAATACTCGGCGTCCTGACTGTCTGAGGTTGCCAAATCGGGTACAGCCCCACTATTGAACGTTTGATGTAGTGGACCAGGAGCGAGTCGATCTTGGTCATTCTTGTAGCAAAAACCTTTATGCCAAAGTACAAGTGCTGGTCTTGATTGCCCTACCAACTCTGCTAGGGTTGGTCTGATGAACTCTGTTTTTTGGACCTCCATGGTATTCAATACTTCGAAGTTGTGGATAGCGTGTTGCGATACAAGCTCGTGTTGATCAATACGAGTTGGATGCGATGGCTGGAACAGTGGCAAACAAGGAGGAATTATGACATCTCGTACAGTTGTCAAACGAACTGTACAACTTGCTTGAAATGCTGTCCAGCAATGGTATACTGAAGTAGGGATAGACATAGTAGGTAGTAGGAATGTCTAAGCGGATGGCCTGATGAATTAAATCTTGGGCATGCCTTTGTGGACCAAAATGGCCTTCTTGAATTAAAGAGACTCTAGTGTTCGATGACGGCATATCTGGAGGTGGATGGAATGGAGTCTCAAACAAAATTGCAGTAGCAGGATCTGGCGTTTGGATATGCTCGTGCTGTTCACCTCGTCTTTCCCCTAACTGTCGAAAAGAGGGCTCAAACCTTGCGCAATGAGACGAGTGCAGACCTAGCACATCTTTCCAACAAGGCTCCGTGTTTATAGGATGTGAGGCGAAATACGACTTCAATCCATCTGAACACGACCCCGTTGGTATGGAAGTGAAAATGGTCTTGAACCATGTCGAGACACGATGTAAGAAGGTGTGTTGACAACCTGGTGTCATTGAGGGACCCGAGGACAAGCGGGCAGAAACTGCTTTTTCAGTACGCATCTCTGAGGATATGAAGTGCGCACTCCATGGTTCAAAATATTGTTCTTCGTGAACATCCACAAGACCGTTACCGTTCATGTTATGATGTACATATGCATAGGCCCATGGCTCCATCATCAGAAATGGATCCTCCTGGACGGGAACCAGTGCTCCCCTTACATCATGATGAGACAAAAGTGTCACATCAGGGTCAAACCGGCATGTTGGAGGTGAGGTAGAAAAGTTCACTGAGAGCTGGCCGTTGCGCATAGATGAAATGACTTCGCCTGAGGTGGCTGAAGATGTGTCATCGTTGCCAAACTGGTCCTGGTGCTCGTAGGTTGTCTCTATACCGGCAGATTGCGCGTTTATGAAACGCCAGCACCAGGGTTCCCACAATGCGGAGTCTTCCTGGATGAGACCGAATCCTGTTACCGACTCAGAGCGGGCATAGTCTTGCGCCCATGGTTCGAAGGTCTCTGGAATTGGTCGATAGAATGGATCCGTACATCCAGGAGGGATGTCTGTCTGGTCATGCATCAAAAAAGGATCCGGCAACTTTTGGATGTCCGCGAACCTGACAATACCCATCTGAAGACATCCTCCGATTTTCCAAGTATACAGCTGTGAAGGCTCGGAAGTGCTCATGCAGGCAAGAATTGAGTTGGACACTTTCACGATGCATTGCATTCCATCTGTCTTCACACATTCGATCACTGCGAAATCACGATGTCGATGGATAACGTGTCTTGGCAAGATTTCTTCCTTGGAACCACCACGCCAGTGAGTATCGGCTCGAAATGAATGGCGGATGATACCATGGCAAACCCCGAAATGGGCTCTCATGGCCCAATTCGTGCCCCCACTCTAAAGTGGAGGTAACAGGCGCGCCTCGCGAAGGCTTGGGCCCAGACGCCTCCAGGCCCTACTACTAGGAGCAAGAAGCTACTAGGAGCAAAGGGCATCGCTACAAAGGGAGCAAGAACGATACTAGGGGCTCCAGGCCCTACTACTAGGAGCAAGAAGCTACTAGGAGCAAAGGGCATCGCTACAAAGGGAGAGAGAACGATACTAGGGGCTCCAGGCACTACTACTAGGAGCAAGAAGCTACTAGGAGCAAAGGGCATCGCTACAAAGGGAGCAAGAACGATACTAGGGGCTCCAGGCCCTACTACTAGGAGCCCTGGCCGTACTACTAGGAGCAAGAAGCTACTAGGAGCAAAGGGCATCGCTACGAAGGGAGCAAGAATGATACTAGGGGCTCCAGGCCCTACTACTAGGAGCAAGAAGCTACTAGAAGCAAAGGGCATCGCTACGAAGGGAGCAAGAACGATACTAGGGGCTCCAGGCCCTACTACTAGGAGCAAGAAGCTACTAGGAGCAAAGGGCATCGCTACGAAGGGAACAAGAACGATACTAGGGGCTCCACGCCCTACTACTAGGAGCAAGAAGCTACTAGGAGCAAAGGGCATCGCTACGAAGGGAGCAAGAACGCTACTAGGGGCTCCTGGCCATACTGCTAGGAGCAAGCAGCTACTAGGAGCAAAGGGCATCGCTACGAAGGGAGCAAGAACGCTACTAGGGGCTCCTGGCCCTACTACTAGGAGCAAGAACATACTAGGAGCAAAGGGCATCGCTACGAACGGAGCAAGGATGCTACTAGGGGCTCCTGGCCATACTACTGGGAGCAAGAAGCTACTAGGAGCAAAGGGCATCGCTACGAAGGGAGCAAGGACGCTACAGGGGCTCCTGGCCTTATTACTAGGAGCAAGAAGCTACTAGGAGCAAAAGGCATCGCTACAAAGGTAGCAAGGACGCTACAGGGGCTCCTGGCCCTACTACTAGGAGCAAGAAGCTTCTAGGAGCAAAGGGCATCGCTACGAAGGGAGCAAGGACGTTACTAGGGGCTCCAGGCCCTACTACTAGGAGCAAGAAGCTACTAGGAGCAAAGGGCATCGCTACGAAGAGAGCAAGGATGCTACTAGGAGGGCTCCTGGCCATACTACTAGGAGCAAGAGGAAGCTACTAGGGGCTCCTGGCCTAATAGGAGCAAGAGGACGCTACTAGGGGCTCCTGGCCTTACTGCTAGGAACAAGAGGACGCTACTAGGGGCTCCTGGCCTTACTACTAGGAGCAAGAGGACGCTACTAGGGGCTCCTGGCAGGGGGCTCCTGGCCTTGCCACTAGGAGCAAGAGGATGCTCCTAGAAGATGCTTGGAAGCCACACTACCATTTCACTCGGGAGGTCTTAGGAACACCGGCTGTACAAACGGGGCCGCGCCTGGTGCGGTCCCTCATTGGCACCCTCTCTGGGGCCACCCTTCGGCCTGAGCCCTATGTGTGCGCGGCCAACGCAAGGCATCACATGGTGGCAATGGTCCAGTAGAGTTGGATCTGCCAACAGGGGATTCATGCGAGGTTCTGCAAACATATTGAGCTAACTATTGAGAGATTTAACATTTAACTTACTGAGGAAGGAAGGAGGCCTGTATCGTTTACGATATTTCCAAGGTAACAAGGGCTTCAGAAGTGAATAAGCAGACCGGTGGCTTCCAAGAGTTCAAATGAGGCTAATCGCAGGGAGGGAAGTTCGGCTTTCTGTATGTGTCTAGCGTCTAGATCCCAAAGTCTTTCGGAAACATTGCCACTGGCAACTGCAAAGCACCTTTAGCTTAGCCTGAGAGCAGAGACTTTGCTCATGGGAGTATTCTTTTCCGGAGCTCATCGTAGTTTCTGGAAACCGAAGACGTTTGCTTCGTTTAAAACGACGAGTGTCCTTGGTCGAAGCATGTCGCACTCGAGAACTTTCAGCTCTCGGAGACGTGACCAAGCTCCACCGAAAAAGCTCTCAGAGCAGACCGTGCTGGCCCTTCTATACACCGGGGAGGTGGCAAAGGCATGCAAAGGCTTAGAGAATTTTGCACCCCAAGTACAAAGATAGAAAAAAATACAGTAGAAACAGTGGTATCATAGCACAGCCCTAGTCTCAAAATTGAGATGTGCAAAGGGTATACAATTGTCCGATCCAGTTGTACTCTCAGCTCAGAGCGCAAATTTGGTCTTTCCGAATGCAACAAATACGAGGCGATCAGCATTTCATGGACCATACACCTTTGAGCATTCACCACCTCCTCCCCAACCTCTTCACAGCAACAGGATGGTCTCGACTGTTACGGCCGACAGGAGCGCAAGGTCTGTCTGGTGGAATGCCCCAAGGCTTGGACACGTCGGTTGAGCCAAGTGCTTCACTGCGCGTGCAGCCAGTGCTCGACCTCGGGGAAATGTGGCAACAAGTGAAGCAAATTACAACAAGTGCCTATTAGAACTAAAATAATTTTAAATCAATTTTAATTCTAATAGCTTTTTGTTACTACCAGTAAGGCACCTGTTACTACTAGCGTGGCACTTGTTACTAGTAGCCTCAGTTGGTTTAGAGGGGTAGGGTAGCAGGGAGTCCTTTTCAGATTCAAGACTTGGCTAATAGCTGCCTTAATGACCACTCCCGAATCACACCAAATGGACCAGATCAACCACCTAGATAGGATACAACCACATCACTCAAAGGCCCATATTCAGAGTACTAGAACCATCGAGAACCCCATTTCACCCATCTTCAAAGGCTCTCGAAAAGGATCAATCGGGGCCGCACCTTGTGCACTTGTTGGAATAGAGACCTCTTGCAGCAGCATCTGCAGCTCTGAAATCACTGACGCACTGTCAGTCATGGGAACGTACTCCAACTGTCGATGCTTGAGCTGCTGCTCCTGGACTTTATCAAAGGAAAGCAGGCTGAACCGGGCTGAACGGCTATATATATATATATTCTTTTGTCGAAATTCCGGTCACTCTGAAGTATCTTCACATTGAACCCACGCATCACACTGAACATAAACACAAATTCCAGGAGAAAGTGCCTGAAGGCTGATGACACCGAAGGTGACCGGCTTCATTCGTAAACACTTCAATTTCACTACACGACACTCAGGCCTTTCAAAACGTGGAAAGAATATTTGGCGGAGGAAACCAAAAGATCTCAAAAGCATGCAGTTAGTTGCCTTTCAAATGGACAAACTTTTTTCAAAGTGTTCACTCGAAGTGGACACCAATTTCATCGTCCTGGTAGGTTGCTAAGACCTGCAAACGAGCGGTTTCTCTCACTCCGTGACCGTCAAGCACATGGTGCCAGCAGAAACGGTGGGAGCGCCACTTGACGGTGGGAGCGCCGCAAAGTTTGGTTGAAGAACTTGTTTGGTTGACAGCAACTCCGTCAACACCTAGATCAACTATCAGGATACGAATACTGGATACACATATTTCAACATTCTGTATATATGCTGGACGTCAAGTATTGTCCAATATGTTCATATACCAGAGACTTGTTTGAAGCTTTTACAAGCTCCATCAGGCATTCGATGTTTCGATGTGCTCTTGGTATGGCCTTGAAGGTGTTCAGCTGCATGGCTAAGGGCCTCAAGGAGGAAACGACCATGGCCACCTGGGTGAAAGCAAATATCGAGGAGAGTGCAAAGACCTCCTCGTCAAATATTGTATCATTGCATTGTATTGTTCCTTTTGGCCGGGTTCTAGCAGTTCCCTCTTGACACCAAGATGGACCCGCGAGCAGTTTTCACATCGAGAAGGGATTGTCGTGCATATCGTGACAGCGCACATTGAACGAACGGGTGAACCCATGGATCGGTCTTGGTTTAGCCCGGCCTGAAGCAACCAATAGCAGTGGCCTCCAACCTACTAGCAATGGCCTCCACTGTTGGACGCTACTAGGGGCTCCTGGCATCGCTACTAGGAGCAAGGGCCTTACTGCTAGGAACAAGAAGCTAGTAGAAACAATACATAAATTAGAATTTAATTAGAATCAAATTAAAATTAGTAGAATCAAATTAAAATTAGTAGTAAAGACGGCTACTAGGACGCATGGCCCAACAGTGGGCAAAACAGTGGTGAGCTCGTTGAGCAGCGGACAGTACCTACACAGCCTACAGCTAGTTCATCGGACTTCGCTGGAATGCATCACACCCACTGCTATATCGCCCACCAAAACAGGAGTGACGTGCCAGTTGAGTTTGCTGGTCCTGACCTCCTGGGTTCCACAGAGACTTTTCATGACTTTTCATTTATTGATCTAGGTTTATCAAGAAAGGAGTTGTATTCGGGGTTCAAACAACATTACACAACTTCTAATTATCACTATGTCACTATGTTATTAGACTTGGGGAAAAAACTCTGCGCAGTCAATCTTCTGCTTTGAAGCGGCTGCTTGGCCATAGACCTCCTGCACCAGTGCGCTACGATTCCCACAGGGTGCCCGGGTCAAACTGCTTGGCGTTGGTTCCGACATGCCGTCAAAAGGGTCAAGGCGTTGGTCCTCAGTGTCCAGGACGATGAGGTGTGGCAACCGATCCAAAAAGCCCTCGTCCTGACAGTCGGGACGAAGAACCCTGGCATTGCGATGGCCTCCAACCTACTAGCAAATAGATGCGTTGAATCATTATTATATGGAATTGCTTCAGCCATGTGAGGGCTATGCATGCTACAGCCCTTCCTGGCCTCCTTGGTGCCTACGTGAGTACACTTGACAACCAGTCCCTGAGTCCCAAGAAGCAAGAAAAAGTGGTCCAATCTCGATTCCCCATGTTGAACGATTAGACAATAATTCCTGTCAGTGAAAAAGTGCTGTTGTTGTATCGCTCCTTCACGGCGACTTGTAGACGTTCGGAGGTGGTAAGGGTGGCTGCCCAGGCTTCCAGCAAGGCCTCACTGCTTCGTTCATCAGCATGAAAGGCACGTTGCCACGCTTCCCGCAACAAGGCGGTGTCTACTCCTGGAAGAATCAAACAACGAGAGCTATAGCGGTTCATTGGGTCACTCACTCTACGAACCTTCCAAGCCTAGATCAAACCAGTAAACTTTATGGAAAGTTCATAAGAACTATGGGATGAGAATGGATGAGAGGTGTGTGGTGTTTGAAGGTTCCATTTCCGCTCGATACATAAGTTTACTCAATGCTTGATTGTTCGATCCTGAACCTGGCTTGAAGCAAATTGTTGTTTCAAGGACACTGAAGCTCGCTGGTAAGGCCGATCGCGTACTGGCGCCGGTGGCTCTCTACTGGCAGAGCAACAATCAGTGGTACGTTGATCATGCGGTCACACTGAAGGGTTGCGATTAATACAACAAATCACTGCAGGATGGGACAGGGTGCCCTTTCATGTTGGGATGCCCGTCCTTACTCCTGCTTGTGACAGCCTTATGATTCCTAAGCGATTCCTGGATCTCAAGATCTTCATCTACCTGGAGCATCTGTGACCCGAGATCTTCAAAAAAGTGAGGCTCCTGGACAGGCACATACAGGCACCCTCTCCTGCACACTCAGAGAAGTTGTGCGCCAAGTTAACTGCGTAGTCCGTCTGGTCCAGGGCCTTCCGTGAGCCATAAGACTAAAAGCAGGAGATACGTTCCCTATTGATCCCTATTGCGCATGACGTAAATGGGAAGGGCTGGCAGTTCAGTAGAGACTGCCCATCAAAGGTACTCCTCGAAAGGCTGGACTCCTTCAGAAGCAGATTCACCGGCGGAGTAAGCTCAGTTTGAGAAATGGTATGATCCCGACACCTGACTTGCTCAAATCACTGCCTCAACAATTCAAAATTGAACCAGCTGGCAAGTGAGTGAAAATTCCTCGGTCTCGTCGCTCTTCCAGCCTTTAAGTGGAGCATGCTGAAAGTGTTGTGCTTCTCATGGGTGTGCAGGAAAGACTCCAAAATCGATGTTCTTGCTTGGTCCTCCCGCTGGTGTCAGCCTGGAGATGATTCTACCATCAACCCCTAATTATTATCTTATGACATTATATCATAAAAAATACCGCTATTTTGGTGTCCTCCAAGAGCGGTACCGGCGATTTCACGTGCTGCATGTGTAAGGATTGCACCACCTCCGCCACCTCACGGTGCTCGGATGCCTGATCACCTCACATAAACACGTTGGGGCTTCGCCACGACTGGATCGATACCGCCTCCTTTTCCTTTTAGGAATGGCATCCAACTTATTAGTGATGGCCTCCAACACCCATTAGCGAAACAATGTTGGAAACATGGTCCACTTACCCATTTGTTACGTTCGAAGGCCGTGCCATTGATGTATGGACGCTCTTTAGACGCTTGGAGCAGCTGCCGTACATGAAGGGAGGACCTGCTCTGAAACTACTGGAATTTTGTTTACGAGATTGTTGACTTGTGGGCACCTCCACCATCCAAAACGTCCAGGTCTATTTTTTGCGTTGTAAAGCTTAGTTGCTCAGATACTGCAACTTCTCTTTGACCATCTTCTGAGTGGACGGCACAGAAGGCAAGTCATTATCACGGCGCTTCTCAGGTTGAAGACGATCAGTCAAGCTCTTGCGATAGTGATGTAGCATTCCTTGGACAGACATGCAAAGTGTATTGAACTTACATTTGAGTTAGTACACTATGCTCCACAACGAAGTCTCACATTATTGAATAGCTCTTCTAGCGCTGAGAATGAACATCAACTCACCAACATGCAGCAAGTAAGTGTGGCCTGAATACATGTTTCACAAGTTCTATTAATACATAGTCATACAGAGGGTCAGATTCGTTCAACGGTCATGGTCGTTTGAATTTCATATGGCCAAAACATAAAAAACACTATTGACACACCCACGTGATGCCCCAAAGGAAACACAACATGTCCAAACCTGTCAATCCGATAAACTTTCTTCTAATCGAGTCCACAGAATCTCTGCCAATTGGTCATGGCAAGACTCCTGGTCCCAGAAACCCTTTCTGAGACCCTTCTGGGGCCTTTGTGTCGTTCGGGTCTGTCAACATGTGGTGCTTTTGGTGCTTTCTCGCTTTCTCCCAACTGATCGATGATCACTGAAGGAGTAAAGAACCAGGAGGTTTCAATGGCTCCATTTTCACTTCTCCAGATTAAGGGTTCTGATTACAACTCCATGACAAAGGAATGACGAAACAACGTCCCTACCCGTCAACTCCTGCTCTCGCCGCCAATACAACTTGCACCTGTTCGGGCTGGACCTACCCACAAGTTCAACCTATTCAAACATAAGTGTCTATCAGTCTATCAATGTCTATCAATCATATCATATATATATAAAACAAATATATATATATATACACGCACTTTTCCTTGATACTCAAAAGGGCTCCAGTAGACATCCATGATGCTCATGATGTCATGTTTCTGTACAATGGTATCTATGCAACATGGTTCGCACTCCTTCTTGGCCACGTGAGACTTCAAAAGGCTTCTTTGAGCTCACTTGGCCACCATTGTCCATTTTCTCTCATTCAATTCTTGTTTCCCTTTCTCTTCTGGGTTTACTCATTGTTTCCAGGAACTGGGTTCCTAGATATTGTTAGCATTGCATGTGGTACATCTGGATGTTCTCTCATTCTGACTGCACAATTTCTCTTTCAACTGCATCTGCTGCTCCTGGTTGTCCTCTTCCCAGCAAGTTGTAATGTCTCTCTGCTAGCTGCTGTGCTTTTGCTTCAAGTCGACCACATACTTGGTTTGCCTGCGCTGCTTCATACTCTTGTCTGGTTGATAGCTCTCTATTTCCTGGTTTGAATCTTTTGTATAGCGGTCCCTTTCCTCCATTCATAACTGTTTGCAACATCACCTGATGTCCATATTACAATCCTTCTGTTTCCTGCACGTCTTCTAAGCTCCTTCTGGCTAAGAAGTGTGCTGCGTTCATCTCACTCAACATGGCATACACACTAATAGCTTGTGTATTTGGTGTTTCTGTACAAAGCCTGCATTGAGAACCAATCCACTGTGAACTCTCCTGGCATGGTCTCTGAGTAGTTCTATTCCATGCCTGTCATCTTCATCAAGTCTGATCATACCTGCCAGTTCTGTTGGTGGTCTTTCTATCTCATCTGTCCTGGATTGGGTGTATTCCCATGATGTCCAATAGCGTTTCTCAACATGATAGCATTGCTCATCAGAGGTTCTTTCCGCTCTATCGTTGACCTGCTGCCCTGCTCAATTTGCCTTTCATTCTTCTTGGTTAGCTCCTCGTAGAAGTCTGTCATATAGCGATCGGTATGAGCAAAATCTGCGTGTAGAGCTTCAAATTGTTGGCAGATTCTGAAAATCACTGTTGCGAAAAATTTTGAACACAATTCTTCTCTTCAAACACCCTTCTCTCATACTCTCCACTAACCAAAAAGGTTCCTCTAATATCTGACTCTCTCTGTCCTCCAAGTGGCTTTGTACTGATGTCTGCCATGTTACCATCTGTTGGTACTTATACCATCTTGAAGTCCTTTCTGTTCTGAATCCATAGCAACTTTCCATCTAAGTGTCTCACTTTTCCAATCTCTTTGTCACAAGTTGGCGCGCATTTGGTGAATCTGTGAAGGCGTAGAGCAAATTCCAGAACTGCTCTGATATAGACTCCATCTGATGCTGAGGAAACTATTGCATGCAGTTCTGCTTCGCGTGAAGATAAGCTAATTAATGATCTTCTGTGTTCTGCCGCTGTTGAACAATGGACAACTATTCAACGCATGGAATCCTCCTGACGTTGACTTTCTGTGGCTTTTGTTCCCACTCCAGTCCGAACCTGAGAATGTTTCCAGGCACCAAAAGCTTGCTCCTTTCTTGACATAACCTTCTCCTGCTTGTGGAAACTCAAGTACCAGACAGTAGTCCATAGTCTTCTTCAAGTATCCTAGAAACTTCTTCAAGTGAGCAAATGACATAGCTGTAGGATTTGACATTCTTGAAGCCAATTCTTTCGCTGTAAGTGCTACACTTCATATACCTCTCTTGACGTAGGTAGATACCTGACCCAAAATTGCTTCTGAAAAGGCTAATCTTCTCTTGCTCCTGCAGACTTCTGATTTGTCTTCCATCTGGATTGAGTCGTCTGCTGGTAGTTGTTGAAGTTTGACCAATCCAATCTGATCTTCATAGGCTTTCAACATCTGCTGGGTGTAGTTGCCTGGTTGGATCCATGGTCCATCAACTTCGAGTTTGTACTGTCTCCTCGGGAAATTGAACTCATCCCCAATCCTCTCAATCTTGCTCACACTGGTGTCAATTTTGCCTTGAATCTTTGGAAGAAAGATGAACGTCAAGTCATCCACATGGATCAAAATGATATTCTTCTCATTTCTTCCTAGGCATGGGCACTCAGCACTGAGCTTGTAGTTGGGTTCCTCACAGAGCTGTGAAAAAGTCAAACCATGCTTTTGCTCCAGCTCTTTGTCCAGGTAGATTCCTCTTCACCAAGAGTTCTTCTCCTCTCAAATTCACTTTTAATGGCTTCTCTTGTGGAACTTGTAGGAATGCGTCTTTCACACCAAGACATCCTAGTACCTGTGAGAACGCTCCTTCCCCCTCTCTTGCCTCATCTTCTTCACTGATCCTTTGCGAGAATATTGTGGGTAGAAGCTTCAGTGCGTGTTCTGAAGTCGCTGGTGAGAAAATGTCATCTCTCTTCCCATCAGCGAAAGCAGCTTCTCTTGCAACCCTTGAACCTCCTGACTGAAGTTGCAACTCCAAGTTGATATGGTTTCTTCCTCCAGTCATAAGCATTGCGTGTTGTCAGGCCATTGATTCCTTTTGTGCTGCCTTCTGGTCTCTAGCGCTTGCACCTTCCGGAGTCTCTTCCACTTCATCAGCTAATCCATTCTTCTGGACCTTCTGGTTCCATGTTCCCCAAACATTCAGGTCCATTGGTTTCTAACAAGTCTGAGTCATCATCTTCTTCTTCTTCCCACTCTTCTTCACCAACTTCTGCTGCAATTGGGGATAACTCTTCGTCTACATGGTAAAGATCCTCTCCTCCAACTTTCACCATGTTGATATTTGCTTTCTTGCTTGAACCATCTGATGGCATGGGTTTCTCCATAGGGCTTTCCTCCTCAAGCAATTCAAAGGCTTCTCTTGGTTGACGGCGCTGATGGTGATCTCAATGAAGATAGGATAGGAGTATTTGGATGTGGTTGTCCTGCTGGCAACGATGTAGAGGGAAATGCCTTCACCTTATCAGGTGTCTTCTCCTGTAAAGAGAACTTTCTGCTTCTTACTTGGTGTCTCTTCTCCACTTGGCTTTCTTTCACCTCCATCTCTCTTCATTGCTTCAGAGATTTCCAGCGGGGCTGGAATCTCCATTGGCTCTGGGAACAATGGCTTTTCTTTATCTGATCACTTCCTCCTTCAATGCTTCTGCTCTCCTCTTGGCGGCAATGATTCTGCCCCCAAAGTTGGTCTGATACTCCCACAAAGAGGCATTGAAGCTTTTGTAAATGGGTAGGTACTTGGACCAATCTTGATGTGGGATCTGGTCGAGCTGTCTTCTTCCAAAAATGGCTGAAAGTCGTGTTCACATGGGGGCCCGCTTCATATTCTGATTACCTTTGACGCACACAGCTGGATAATGAAGGAAACATGGACCAAACAAGTATTGGCGCCAAATTGTAAGAGGCGTCACTAGCGCTGCACCGTTTTCAGCTGATCTCCGAGCTTCAAGCCATGCTTGAAACAAAAGACATGTTGCAAGTCAGCCTTGGAAGGGCCCACGCTGGAATCTGGCAATGTTTGCTATTTTGCTAGCGCGGACCTAGCGCAGTGCTAGCGCGCGGCTAGCGCATTTTTCAGCTAGCAACTTTTTTCAAAAGCCTGACGACGCTCTGAACATGTCCTAAGGCAAACACTAGCGTCACTAGCGCAAGTCTACCGCAAACCTAGCGTCCAGCTGCAGAATAGGTGTGCTTAGCTGGGGGCCCGCTACATAATCTAATTGAAAAACAGCATCATGAATCATAAGCTACTTTCGAACCCTTTATCTATGTTTTCTGATTATAGACTTTTGGCCGGACTCCATGTGTTCTTGTGATACATTTGCTAAGTACTACCTGTAAGCGCATAGGTATCTTGCCTCTCAACTTTTCCCAAGAACAAGCATAGATGCCATCTTGCTTCTCTTTGGTGAGGCTCTTGACGTAACCATGAACTGGTACACCATATTCTGCTATAGACAAGTTCATAGGGAGTTGCACCTTTGACTGGCTGAAATCTATTCAGTACCGAACTAGCATGTCTTCCTGCCCAAGTCCAAAGTGCATAATCTCATCCAATCTTGATACCCAGGCTTGACTGCACACCTTCAATGAAAGTTCTCGCAAGCTTTCTCACCCTGTCAACCATGTTCTCTGACAGCCTGAACGATCTCCAAGCTTTGAGTTAACTAATCTGGTAGTGAGCCCTAGACTGTAGCGAGCATTGATCAGCATCTTAAGGATTTGCCTTGTTCACTCTTGTAGGCGATCGCTGAACACCCCAGCAGTTGACTAAAATTCATCAACTCCTGCTCGATGAGATGAAATTGGCCGTTGCTGCCTAATGGTACAACATGAATGGCTGTCAATTGCAACTAACCAACATACTGCTCTCGCTGACTTTGTCTCTGAGTCTCTTGCTCTTGTATAGCAACAGTCAAAGCTTACCTCAGGAATACCCCATCTGTTCCCTCACAGCGATCAAGTTGCTTCATCTGGCATCTTTGCAACACTTTGTCCTAATGCCTCCCTAGTCTCTTGAGCTTTTGCTTCACTCACCAAGCTTTTGGCGTTCAACAACTCCATCTTCTTGTTTTGATTGAGGATCTTGGTGTAGACCTCTAGCTTAGAGCCACTGCCTGAAATGCCGAGAAATGAACAAGCTGCCCTCAGAGTTGCCAAGATGAATCCTTAGTCAACTCTACTCCATTCACCAAGACTTTGTCTACATCCATTGGGCTCAATTGTAGTTCACATTTCAGGTCATCTTCTTTCTTTTCATCGTCTTTATGACCTTCTACCCCCTTCTCTTGGGGAGTAGGGGTAATCTCTTCTACTGGCCGTTGCACTTCTTTCTCTCTTTGCTCTCTGTTCTCAAGTGCTTGTATCCTGGCGCAAAGAATCCCGTTGAAGGCTCATAACTGAAGATTGCGGTTGAAGGAATGACTGCATCATCATGAAAGAATTGCTCAACAAGCTCCTCCTTTTTCATCGTGCTCTCGCAATATTCAGGCATTAGCCATCTACCTCCTCTTTACACCAAAAGTAGTTCCCATCAGCTCTGGTGACTCTTCCACTTCTGGAATAACTGTAGGACCCACAAATCTTGAAGCCAATAAGCTTCCAACTAGCAGTCCATGTTCATTGAACCATCAACCTGATTCTTTCTCAACAGCTTCAGGTACTTGCGCTTCCAGGCAGTTCCCATCTTTATCTTGAATGACTCTAATGCGGCCTTGAACTGCCAAAGGGCGATTTTGCAAGTTGAGTGATACCTGCAAGTCACCATTCTCCAACATGCGCTGTCATGCTGTTGATTCCCCAACCATGTATAACAAGGTATGGGCTGATTCACCTTGGAACTGAAGATCACATTCTCTTTGAGAAGAACTTCTCGTCCATCAAGGTCACGCAGGGAAATTTCAACACTTTTCGCACCTCCTGTGGGGATGCGATTTCCTTGTGCATCTTGTAGCTTGGTCTTAGTGCTGAATTGTAGTTCCCCTTCCCCGTGACCTGCCACACTCAAAGGGAATAATGCTACATCTGCTCCACTGTCAATAATGATAGCCACATCCTCATTCTCTTCCCCAAGTCTCCTCACCATGGGTTCATCATCTGAGATGTAAATCTCCTCAACTTCCTGTATTTCTGGCTCATCACCATCAACTCCAATGTAGAAGTGACTCTGATTCTCTGGTTTGTAGCTCATCATCTCTTTCTTGATCGGCTCACTGTTCTCAATTCTCCTGACCACTGGTTTGGTCTCTGCTGAGCTACTCTGTTGGCTCACATTGGCATGCGGTTGGCCAACTGTATGAGTTGTCACAGATGCTCCACCTGAAGATGAACGGGTCCGATCACTTGCTACCTGCCAGGTATTGATTCATTGATCCTCCAACAATCTTTAGCCAGATGCCCTGGCTTTCCACAAGTGTAACATGTTGCCACGCCTTTGCCTTCTTGGTCTTTGCCTTTACCTTTACTTCTTTTCCTTTCTCATCTCCTTTTCCTTTCTTTCCTGCGCCCTTGCCAGCTTTGCCTTTACCTGTCTAATAGTCATTCTTGCCCATGTTACCTTTTCCTTTAGTATCTTGGGCTCGATCAACGTCCATTGGCATAGGTCCTTGATAGTCTGTACTGCTACTAGCAGTGTTCCCTCAAAGTTGGGTATTGAACATGGTCACCAATTGTCAAGTTCAAGTAGGACTTGAGTTGTCCACCTACACATCTCGAAAGAATAGCAGATTTCAAATTGTAGTCCCTGCCTTGACAGTCTCATCAAACACTTCTTCAAGGTTCAAGAGTTGAGGTTGTAGTGCGCCGTTCATTGAAAATGCTGGCCATGTAGTGGCTGCTCCCAAGAGTGCCAAGCCTCTTGCCTTTGAAGTCTGCTTCAAAGCTTTATTCAAAATCCTCCAGGCATCAAATCCTTTGGAGTCCACCACAGCCTTCAGCAGCCCTTCCTCTCATCAACGAAGCTAATAATTATGATAATAATTCATCCATAGAGCTTGATGCACCTGGTCTTCTCTGCCTCAGTTGCCAATTCCATGTCAAATTTCTCATTTGGCTTCTCATGAATTTCTTTCCTGTCATTGTGATGTTGTTGCCAGCGGACTCTGTGCTATAGTTTGAAGGATTTCTCTGATTTCATCCATCTTCTCCTGGTACTAATGTCTCTTTCTTGATACTCAAAGGGGCTTCAGTAGACATCCATGATGCTCATGATGTCATGTTTCTGCACAATGGTCTCTATGCAAATGGTTCGCAATATATCATATTATCATGATGTTGGAGCCCATAACCAAATGGCATTGCGTTTGACTTCCCACGGCCTTTTGCCCAGCTTCCTTTCATGGACTTCACCCGATGAGGCCAGTTCTCCATGGAGGCGTTGATGGACATGGCCATGATCCGGTCTGTCAGTTCTTCTCCGGTCTTCCGGTGCCAATCCAAGACCTCTCGGCCCAAGACCAAACCAAGCCTCATCTCCTTGGCTCAGCGTTGACGTATCGACCCACTAGTTTGTGCTGATTGCAATTTGTTCGAAAAGACCAACGAATTTCAGCAGCCAAGTTTCCTTCTCCGGAAACTCCTCGATTTCTTTCAGCAGTACCGGAACTGCCAAAACCTCCTCAGATTCCAGCGCAACCTGAAGGCAGAACAACGATGGAGGCTTCCAAAGTGGGCAAGGTAGGCAACCATCATGCCAAAGCCCATGGGATTTACTTTGGCTGAAAATTCTTCAACATTGAATAAGGATGTTTCGCAAAGCGAAAAAGCGCAATGATGCTAACCGCCTCGATTGACTCACAGGAGGTTCACATCCGGCCAAAGCTTATCTCCCTGCAAACGAATTGGTTCATCCAAGCCTTAACAGTGGTTTAGCTAGGCTGCCCGACCGGGTGGGGATTCACCGCGGTGCCAATCGCCTCACTGGGTGAGCTTGGTAGACAACAAGCTTGCTAAGCACGTGCAACGAAAACAAGTTTTTCTGCTTTAGCGCAACGAACTTGGTTCTCAAAATCGCAATTCAAACAACAATGATTTTCGCAATCAACAAATCTCCAACGCATGGATATCCCTTGATATCCAAATTACAACAATGAGTTCAAAAGGTTCACTAATTGGATGAGGCTTCAATACATATCCAAACCCAAGGACTTCAACCTGCTGATTATTGTCACGTGGCGTTGCCAATTAGGTTGAGGGGTACCTGTTGGAGCCACATCCATATTGAGAACAGTGGCCCAAAGCAAATATTGTGTCTGGTAATCGAGCAAGGCTTGGAGGTTCGTCATCAGCGCGGCATGAGAATCTTGCAAACTGCTCAAGACTGCAGTGGTCCCACTACGCACCGCGTCGTCGATGCAAAAAAGGTCGCACATCACCTGGCAAAGACAGGTAATTTCACCATGGCAGGGCGGTCGCAAAATGATCAAAAATAGAACAATGTCATCTGGCCAAGCTGGTGAGAGAGGATAACCTCGACATTTGTGAGTGGAAATAGGCATTGATGTTCAAAACAAATTCCTTGCCCAAACAGTCCCGAATCATAGTCTTCCCTGGCTTTGCAAAAACATTTACGTTGGTTTTGGCATGTTTTTGCAGCAACGGATTTGTTTCTTGGCTCCAGCGGACTTAGAGGCTTACAACACCAGCAAATTTCCTGGAGAGTTTCGAGGCGGAACCTTTCTGGCGTTTTGCCGCTTGTTTGGTGTGCGGTCATGTGGTGAAATGTAAGAACTTCGGTGTGGATTTTCAAAAAAACCATGCGCCTTTGCTTTTTACTGTGCAAGATTTGTCCGCTCTACATCGCGAAACATTGTTTTGCGCTTTCGCTGAAGATCTGTATCTCTAAACAACGTTGGTTTTCGCTCTTCCCTCAAAGCAAAGGTGGAGCGGCGCGCTGAAACAAGACTTTGCACCGCCATGGCTCACAGCGCAGTGAAAAGTTGGGTTGGCAAAAGGGTCCTTGAGGATCAAGGTTGTGGCACTCGACCCTGAAGGGTCACTTGCATGAGAACGTGTTGTTCAAATTTGCCATCGTGTTTTTGGTTGATCCTTCCGGGTTGAGGTTGATCTTTGGACCCAAAAACATCATGGTTTGTGAGGCCGTCAGCATACATCAGGCTCGTTGGAACCCAATGGATCCCAAGGTTTCCTGCGCTGCGCGGATGTTGATAGGAGATAACTCAACCGTGGTGTTGCCGGGCCTCTTTGGGCCGTGTGTGTGTGTGTGTGTGTGTCTCTGTCTGTTTGGTCACTTGTGTGATGCTTGATCCTCTTCCAGGATGAGAAGGGGGTTTAACTCTGATGGCCCTGAAGGTAGCAGCAAAGATGAATGCAGTTCCATGTTCGTGGCGATGTTCGAGCGTGGCCCGAATTGCAGAAGAAGGTCGACCTTTGGATGTTGCAAACCTCTTGCGGGAGAGATGGAACAGGAGCCCGAACACATGCCGCGTTGTTTGAAAGCCGTGGGCATGCATGGAGGTGCGCGGGATGTTCGACCAGCAGGATTAGGCCAGAAGCCCAAAGAGGAATCCTCGTCGGGGCCAGCAGGGCGTGAACTTTGAAAGAGGCCTTCGGCATCCAGCTCTCGGAGCTTTATCTTTACAAATAAGTCTGTCCATGCTGCTGACGTGGAGGCTGTGGATGAGCCCCAGCCAAGAAGATTTTTCCTTATGACCAACAACCCGACCAAGACAACCTGGGAGCCAAGCCAGACTCCACCACGCACTTTGTCCAAGACTTGGAATGCAAAAGCTTGCTCAAGGCTCTCAAGATTTTGGCGTCCTTGTGTTCGGGCAAAGGGTTGGCTGGCGTCTCAGCCACATGTCGGTCTTGTGCAGAACGTCGCCCTTTGCGAGAACCTTGTTGAGGTGGTAGCAACAACGGGCTTGTTTGTCAGAAGGCATCGTCACCATTAGCACAGTGGTCTGAGCAGTGAAAGGGGGTTCCCTGACACCGAGTGCAAGCCCATTGCCGCGTCACGTGGTAACAAGCAAGCTTTGAGTGGAGCCGCAGCAAACCAAAGCCAAGTGTCGCGCTTGTCCTCTTGCAAGGGCTCAGGCTGGTCACCTAGGGGTGTATTGGTGTCATTAAAGTCAAAGGCAGGCACCGAATCTCCTACAGGGGTCGTTCTCCGAGTTCTGGTCGTCGTCACCCGGCAGCATGCAGAAGTAGGCTCCGGCGCCAACTAAACAATGTCGGGTTTCGCTGAACCCTCAAAGCAAAAGGTGGAGCGGCGCGCTCAAACAAGACTTTTCACCATCATGGCTCACAGTGCAGTGAAAAAAGGGATTGGCAAAAGGGTCCTTGAGGATCAAGATTGCGGCACTCGACTCTGCTTGCCAAACTTCCGCTTTTCCATACTTATTCTTTCTGATGTTAGTACTGTAATTACTCTTTGAATCTTTTCGATACTTCTCTCTAAACATCTCTACAAGGTTGCAAATCTAACAATTAAAATTGATCTTTAAGATCATATAGGCAAGTCATCTTGTCCATCCACCACTTTACCTTCGGCCAAAGTGTAAAGCTGAGACCTTGGATAGGCCGAACTGCAAAGGGAGGCAATCTTTCAATGAGGCTGTAGCCAAATTCTCCATGTCCGTCGTCAAAGTGCCCGACATTTGTGGAAGTGTCCTTACGGAAAAGGAAGGAACATGACCTCACATGGCTACCAGTTTGACTTGATTTGGACTTTGGATGACTTGAGATATTGGATATTGATATCAAAAAGGACACATGCATGAACCAAGACCGTTGACACCGAACGTAGACAAACCTGCTCGAGCCCAAAGGTCAAAACGTCGATGAATCCGGGCATCCGACAACCCAAAAGCTTTAGCAGCAGCCCGGAAGCCCCGTCAAAATCCCAAACGGAGGGACGAATTCTTTGCCTCAAGAAACAAAACATGGACCTCGATTCAATCCTGGTTCCCAGTCTTGAGGCAACCCTGATGGAAAACAAAACGCTTGGTCAAAAGCAAGTATCCTGAATCCAACAACCAGCGCAACCATTCACCCAAGCTCAGGGTCTGTCGTAGCTCCTATTGACAGATGAGTCACGCAAGGGTTCATTTTGACCCAACATATCATATCTAAGGCTGAGCATCTGTTTGATGATTTGGCTTGTGACATTCTTCATCGCTCCATTGCTTGGCACTGGTGGTGAGGGCCCAACTGTTGGGTTGATGAGGCTGTTCATAGACAGGGATTTGTCTGCGATGTTGAAGACCTAAGGGAGGCGGCGTAGAGCTGCATTTTGTGGAGCGGATGGGGAGGGTGTTGGAACAGGGAAACCTTTTGCAAATGGTGAACCATGGTGAACCTATGAAAACAACATCCAGAGCCGCCGCTGATTTGCTCATCTGGTTTGGACTTGCTTTCATCAGCGTTGTTTTTTTTCCGTCAAGTAGGGTACTTCTGTGGGTCAGCTGCAGAACCGAGCTGGAAAATCCTTTCAGTCCATTTCTGCAGGTGTGGGACAAACTAAAATTGACTACTTGATACTTTGGAGGGCGAGTAACAGTGTGTCGTGAAGGAATCGAATAGGTTGAAGTTGTAGTCAAACCAGAGTTCTGGCACTGCATGCAAATGCTCCGACACGTGTGAAATGCACCCATACTGAGATCTTTCTGAGACTTCCAAACTTGCAAACTTCAAATGGGCAGTCTTTCTCCTCTGTGCCCCCTAGCGGCCCTAACTTGCACCCTCACGGTTCTCTTCCGTTTGTTGAGGGGGTATCAGGTTTTTCGAGGAACCCCAATGCAAATCCATGGAACTCCACCGTTGCCGTCAACGCCGCTGATCAAGGTCTGGAACGGGGCCGAACCTCACAAGGCTTCGAAAATCCCAAACACGTCATTGGCCTCATCTGATGCTAAGCGGCTTCAGTATCACGTGCAGGTCGACTGACCATTGGCAATCCACTTCCAGATTCCATATTACAGGAAAAACCATGAAAAACCAGTAACCTTTGCTTGGTGAATTTGCTCAAAGGGCTATCCTTGATCCAGGTGGGCTGGTCGTTGTCGCCATTGCATGCATTGCTCTAGTGACTCTAGTGCTTGCAGTCTTGTCGCAGGCCATCAAACCTTCAAACGTAGTGCAGAACACATTGCCAGCAGCTACTCAAAAACACACACACACACACTCCCTCTTGAGAAAGAACTCGCAAAAGCGCCAGTTCGAGGTGATACCACGAGAGCATCAACACTGTACGATCTAATTAGTGTTCTCGAAAACCGAAAACCAGGCCCTGAGCAAACGGAAAGGCGAGAATGTTAATATATATATATATGTTAATATGGTTTACATCGAGCGCGAAATCAATGTAGGTACGTCATGGTACGTCAGCCGATCGGGATTTGGAACAAGAAATGTGAGTGCTAAGCGCTGCAGCGCATTGATTGCTCCTTTCTTTCATCGTAGTGCGGAGTGGCATTGTGGGAGCGTTACCGTTAGCAGATGTAGAGGTCAATCAGAGCTTTCTTGCTGACACTGGCGTGGGAGTCAGGGTAGCTATAAGTTGTGAAAGGCGCAGTGAATGGACCCGGGTGAAGTGTAGCGGCGGATTTGCCAGGGAAGGCTGGAGCTGATAAGTGACGTGCCGTTGGGGTGTCTCAGATGTGAAAACCTAGGAGGCGATTGTCGACAGGCTCTACCAGTAGTTCTACCGGGTGTCCGTAGAATCTGGGCTAGGGTGGTGAGCAAAATGAAGGGATTGTCAGCGTATCGGGTGGAGAGGAAACCGAGGGCTGTTGGAGGAAGCGTGGTGGACTTGGTGCCAGGTGTGTTTGATGAGTTGGATGGCGATGTTGCATAATGCGCCTCGAATCTGTTTGTAGGTGGCACCACAAGCAGTGAAGATGTCACGAATGTCGAAAGTGAGCACGCAGTGGCGATCGGTGAGGGGGGTGTTGTCTGGATCAAGTGGGAACAGCTGTGTGGCATATCATGATCAGTGTGGATGTGGGGAAAAGCTGGCGCAAAGTCTGGACACTGGAGAGTGTGGAGCCGGTGGGATGTGTGCAAAATGGGTTGATGCAACGTGCAGAGCCTGGGGAATCTGGTGCGGCGCTGGCAGAATTGGCAGCCCGAGGTGTTTTGAGGCCAGGTAAAAGTGGGCTGCCACGCGGTGATGTGTAAATTTTCTTGAAACCAGGCTTCGTCTACATTCTCGTCAAGGGCGCTGGGGAGGGATTTAAGGTGAGTGGGAGGTGGTGGTGGGAGGATTGGTTGTCGGTGGTGTTTGGTGGGGGTGTGGTTGTGGTGAATGGTCCACTGGCACGTAGATCGGTACGTGGACAAAAGAGTGGTGGAGAATGAGTTGCCAGCATACCGCAGTGGGAACAAGCTGCAAAACACACTTGAGAAAGAGCTCGTAAGAGCGCCAGTTCGGGGTGATGCCACGAGAGCATCAACGCTGTACGATCTAGTTAGTTAGTGTCCTCGAAAACCTGCAATGGCCCTGAGCAAACGGAAAGGTGAAAGGCGAGAAAGTCAGAAACAATTTGCATAACAAGCGCAAAATCTATGCAGGTACGTCAGTTCTGCGTCCAGAACTGATATCCTCACCGTGTATTGGTGGAGAAGTGGTGAAGCAATACACGTGTCTCAACCCCCTGCCGCTAGATGAGCATGCAATGTACAATAAAATCAGGCCTTGTGTGGACTTGCATCCAGATACTCACAGCGATTTCGCAGGTTTGCATGTCTTGAAGGCCTGTCCGTCGAAATCGACTTAAATGTCTTGACTGCCGGCCAAGTCGCTGATGTTCTCCAAGGTTGTCAATGCAAATTGCTTCATCACATCCTGAGCAACAGTTTTCCAGGTCCAACCAGTTTCTCTCAGCATCAAACTTGTGGGATTTCTGACAGCACTTGGTTGGTGGGTGACGTCTTTAATGGACATGCCAGTCAGGATGCTCACGAGGCTACCCTTGGCACCTTTTCACAAGGGAAGAAGCTGATAAAAAGAAGAACACACATTTGGAAACTACACCTTCATGATCATCCTTTGGATCTTCTCAGTTGAGGTCGCTGTCCCAACAGCACAGTTTGTCTTTTGTAGTGGGTTGCTGAAGAAACCAATCCTAGAAGAAACTTGAAGAAACATCAAGAATCTTCCCTATCCCACAAATCATGCATCCGAGTCTCAAACATCTTTGCACCAAAGCCCTTCTTGACGTCTTGTTCAGCTTGATCTGCAAAGTAAATGAAGTGTTCGAAGTAGTGATCCATCAGTTCTTCACTCGAGTCTCTCCGGACTGCATCCTGGCCAAGATTTGTTTCCAGTTCGTTACGAGCTTGTAACCATGTCGCTAGTGAATTACGAAGCCTGACGAAGAACAACCGCTGGGAAAGGACGCAGGCGTTCAGATGCGGCTAAACTCAAGGCGTTCCGAGCTGGCCTCTCGGGACCTTTAACTCAGACATGGACGCTTAGAAACCCACTTGCAAGCAGAAATGCTTCACGCAAGTGGCTAAACCCCTTCACGCGTGGCCCAAAGCAGCGCAAGTCTTTGCTCCGATGTGGCTGGACGGGATCACCTTCAGTCATCCACCGCCCTGCCGGTCTTGTCCCCCTTTGTCACAAAGACACAGCAATCTTTGGCTCAGCAGGCTGTCAAACCGACCAACCTTAGGTTTGGACCCGGTAGCGGGAAGGATCTGCAGAGTGACCATCTCTTTGGCTGTGCTGTGTTTGTGCCTTTGCGTCACCGCCTTTCCAATCTGCACGGTTCGGGTGGCCTCTCTTTCATGTCACTGGCAACCCAGACCACATGGACACCAAACCTCCACTTGTACATGGTCACAGTTCCGTGGCCCGACCTACGGGAGGTTTCTCTGCGCAAAAGGAATGTTTTGATAGCGCATCCTGGCCAAAAAATTTGAAGAAGTGAATTGCAGTCAGTCCCAAGTTTCTTCGTAAACGGCATTCGATCCTGATGCTCACTTCGTTTTGCGGATTGTTCGTTACGTTTCGTGTACTTCCAGATGCTTTGGACGCTACCACTGCAGTCACTGTGAGTTTCAAAGGTTCTAAGCATTTTTGAGCTTTGGAAGGTGAGTTCGCTTGGAGTTGGTCGCGCTTCAAAGTGCATGTTTGGGCTTGACAGTTCACTCGTCTCTCTCTCTCTCTCGCTCTCTCTCTCTCTGTATCTCTCTCTCGGCTTTCGCTTGCATGGTACTCTCGAAAGACCTTGACCAGCCAAATCTCACTGTATTAACATTGGCAGAGTGAATGCCTTCACATTGCCAACCAAAATGCCAACCTCGTCATTTGAGTGCCATGATTGAATATGATTGATGAGCGGTTCTCTCATACTAGCGCAGCAATTGGGCCAAGGGAGAACAATACATGACCCCAAAGCATCTGTGCAAACAGTATTGTTCCAAAGGTGGGAAGGTTGGGGATGCCACTTGTGATTACACTGTGTTTGTTTGAGCTGCATTTGCAGCCAACCAGTGTGCCAAGAATGCATGATGATGTGCAGCCGACAACAACAAGCCCCTGCCAAACTGCAAACCAATGCCAGCTGATGTTTCTTTAGAGTTTAGAGAGCAAAGAAAGAACTTGAAAAATGATTTTGGGGTTCTGTGGAATTTGCTGCTAAATCCAAGAGATCGCTGCTTGTTATTTCCTGTAGAATCAGCTGCTGAGATCCTATGGAAACTAATTTTATGATTCTCTACAATCTTCTGCATTTTCCTCTGCGTTCTAATCCCCATTGAAATTGAAATATCAAGTTTCGCGAGCAAAGGGGGCATCCCCGTTCCAACCATATTGGAAAAACAATAACATTAAATCAAGAAGAGGGATACGGTGGGTGTTGGTGTGAATTTCGACGTCCGGAGGCTGTGCATATTGTTTGAGTGGCGTGCTGGAGTTGGAAGTTCACCCCAAGATGTGGGACAAACAGCAAACAGCAAAACAATTAAAACAACATACATGCATACAGCATACATGCCTTACATCCACAGAACATCACAGAACACTCGTCAGTGACAAGTGATGTAGTGCGGTGTAAAGTGTAAACAAGTCAAAATCAAAGAAACTAAGTGAACTAAGTGGAACCAAGTGGAATCAACTGGAACTACGTGGAACCAAGTGGAACTCTGTGGAAACAAGCGGAACTAAGTGGAACCAAGTGGAACTAAGTGGAACCAAGTGGAACTAAGTGGAAACAAGTGGAACTAAGTGAATCTGTGTTTTCCCTTCACTTTGTCAAACAAACAATTGAACACAGTGGAACCAAGTGGAACTAAGTGGAAACCTTATCTATGTAGCGCACATAGCAGTGCTATGTGGGCTACATAAATATGGTTTCCGCTTAGTTCCACTTGGTTCCACTTAGTTCCACTTAGTTCCACTTGGTTCCACTTAGTTCCACTTGGTTCCACATAGTTCCGGTTGGTTCCACTTAGTTCCATTTGGTTCCACTTAGTTCCACTTGGTTCCACCAGGTTGTCCCACCTGGCCACAACTATACGTCTGGTGGTATGTTCAGCCCACGACGTCCAGATACTTCGAAGTTCATAGTGTGACTTTCGCACTGCTGGAGGCTGCGCATGGATTGTGTTCTCCCTGTGTTTGATGTGGTGTTGCAAACATCTTTGGTCCTGGGTCTCTCAAAGCCTCAGATTGAAATTCGACAAAGTCTTGGCACCTATGACGTTCAAAATATGGTACCATGATAAGATACAGAAATATATCAGAACAAAAAACACTGTACCCACAGTTCAATCAAACATATATATGCATGCAAGCTGCGGTGGTTAAAATAGCAAACAGGCCCTGGGAACCAGGACCTCGTGAAATTTGTTAAATTGAAACAAGGAACAACAATATAGCCGAACAAACTGTTCATTGGCGTACTACGCACTGTTGTATACATGTTCGGACGGTCGACCTGAAATCACGCTGGGTTCGGCCAGAGTATTCCTATCATTTCCTATCTCTATGGACAGGTACATCGACGGTTGCGCTACACCTCCAACATATTGCGCAACATCTATCGGTCCTCGGAAACCCGCCAAGGCAAAAAAATTGCACTTTCTTTGTGCTTCTCAAACTGGGCTAGGTCTACCACAGCTGGATCAAGTTCCTTTCCACTCTATTCCACTCTGCCTCTCGACCAAAAGGGGAGCGAACAGGTGAAGGCGAGAATGGGTGTTTTCGAGCCGCATTAACTCTGCCTCAGCCCGTACACGATCTGGGAGAAGCGTCGGAACGTGGTCGGTGAAGGTCCAATGTCCATCCTCTGCTTGGAGGCCATCGCTATTAGGTTGTCTAATCCCCACCCACATCAACGCCAGACACACCGACGTGTGACAAACAGATTTCACTCAAAGGCCGCCCAGGTTGACGGTTTTTCATGGTTTTTCCAGTCCCAAGAGCAAGCGGGTGTATGTTGCCGATTGTTCGGAGTCGGATTTGCAAGCAGAAGACGCACGGATGGTACAAGTGGATAGGGGATGGGGGTGGTTCAGAACCACTGAGGGCAACATACCAACATCGATGTTCACGGGTACATTGGTTAAACAAACCCGGTCCTGTGCTTCCTCTGCCCCCTTCTCCTGTGGCAGCGCGTAGCTTCCCCAAGGAATCATCCCAACAATAGCCGCTGCAAGCTGAATGCCAAGGGAGATCTGTTGCATCCTGAGAGGAGGCATGTTTGGTGGGGTGTGATCCCGACCTGTGAATGGTCACGTAGCTTTCTTTCGAATCTACTTGGACATCTGTTGCTGGTGAGAGTGCGTTGCTCCAGCATCTACAACTACCACCAGGATCTTTCTGGTGAGAAAGTAAGAGTACTGCCTAGACACTGGGGGTCTGTTGGATGTACTATCGAATGTCGTTCATTTAGATTTGCAACGGAGATTTGCGCTATTTTTCAGCATGAAAAAGGTCTGCGGTATGTATCAAGATTCGAGTGCTTTGAACGGTGCCCTCCCCCTTTGAGCTTTGCTCAAACAGTATTGCAAAAGCACTTTTTGTGCAGGTTCAAGACCTTTACACGTCCACACCAGATTCGGTGTCGGATAGATTTCTTCTCAATGGCCTCCGGCCAATCATCTCCCACTCATTTGTCCAAGATCCGTCGTCTGCAGCCGCACTGTGGTCTACTGGTTCCCCCTAATCCAGGAGGTAGTCCTGAGACCGGTGCTCCCGGAAGACCAGGGATAGTGCCCAGCACAATCCTGCACAGCCAGCCCTCCGGTTCGGCTGAACGACAGCTTGGTCGCTCTGTTGGCTGCCCGCTTGTGCCAACGTCGACTTCGGTGTGGGGTAGTTGGTCGTAGATGTAGGCATCGTCGAGGACAAAGTGCCACTGCCACTTGAATCTTCAGCTGTCTTCGGGACAGCAATGTAGCATGGAACTCCTGGAGGTGCGACACCACTGGCAGGTGTTGTTCCTACCGTGAGGGTGAGATCTAGCCTTGGAATCTCTGCCTCTGGCCATCGCTCCAGTTCCAATGCCCTCCTCATCAGGTCGTTTCGATGGAACACCCTGCTGCCGACCTGAATCCAATATATCGGAAGCCCGCCAGGAGTGTCATCCCAATTCATGTTCGACTCCGACAATGCCTCCAGCGCTTGCCTCAGTCCATCTGGAGCATTCTCCCATCGCTCTGCCGGTGGCATCGGAGGAGGAGCCTTTAGAATTCTCTTCGGCTGTGTGCCCAGTCCAGAGGCCGCCCCCGCCTCCGTCGGTGGCGCCGCTGTCGACGAGGAGCTTACCGCACCAGACATTGCCTTCGGTGCCAGCTGGCCTCTGCCCCACATAGTACGACTCCAGTGTCGTTCCTCTATTCGGGTCCTGCAGTTCGAAGAACGTGTAACCCTTCCATCTTCCTTCCACCTTATGATCCATTCTCTCTTCCCTTGTTGGTGGTTCCGCCCAACTGTCTTCAAAGGGCTTGCCAGGGGCTTCACCATCCTTGAACTTGATCGTCACCCTTCTGCCCGTCAGCACCTGATCATCCTGTAGTGGATACGAGCTGTGGATTGGATGGCAGAATTGGTAGCGCAGTTTGCAATTCACTCGGACCACAAACCCTTGCGCTATCTGCCATCGATCATGGCTGCCAACAGGTGGTATATACATGAAATGGTGGGTGCCACCATGGCTCATGAGGTCGCGCCCGAGGACAATGCACATACCATTGGCTTCGAAGGGCGCTGACCACTTTGGGTCTTCTTCACTTGGGAGCCTTCTCGGAGGCTACTCGCCGCGTAAGAGGATGGGTTTGCGGGAGGTTCATTTTGGGCCCTTCCCGTCTTGTTGGTCTGCTATTCATTTTGCGCCCTCACCCTGCCGCCACTCGTGGTCTGGGACCCCGAGGACGGTTCATCTTCCCTGTCCCATCCTTTTGTCACTTTCCTCAGCCACATTGTTCCCACTGCCATCAAAATCACCGCCACCATATCCAGCACTGTGGATGATGCACCACGCCTAGCGCAGATCAGTGCAGCAACCAGGACCGCCAGAGCTCCCCGCAAGATCGCTGACCGCTCCTCGTTCCCAGTAGCCAGCGCCTTCACTCATGCCAATCTGCTGCAGAAACACAGTGAAGTTCATGCCCATCAGTCGAGGCCATCTGCAGGGCGTTCTGTCCCTTTCACATGATGCTGGTGCCAGCCACTCCCTGCCGATGCCAATGCAGACCTCCTCAATCCAGCCGCGCGAAGACGAAGGCGACGAGTTCGCCATGCTCCGGCATCCCCGCAGCACAGTGATAATGCGCATTTTGTTGTCTCCATACAAGCACTTGCTCACACCTTCTACACCCATAGGCGCCCCACTCCTTCAGCTTGTTGGTGCACCTCCGCGTAGCCGATGAGTTCTGCTTCTGCCGTTGATCCACAGACAAACGGTTGACACGCCGACGACCACAGGACTGGGCACCCTGCGACCATGGTCATTGTGCCATGAACCGACTTGAAGTTTTCAGCAGCCAGGGCGAACGACGCATCAGCATATGCCTCCACATGAGACTCACCTCTTGAGAACTTCAACTCGTCCTTTTCACCAAAGGCATCTTGTGAGCGCTTGTCGAACACAATGCCTTGACCACCAGTCTCCACTATGTATGACAAAAGAGCTTTTGCCTGCGTCACCACCTGAATTCGGGTCATTTGGAATCTGTTCCCCCGTAGTTGCCTCCGTTTCCGTCCATGGCATCCCAACTGCCATCAGAACCTGCAATCGGGGTCGCTGCTCGTTGCCCAGCACCTCCACCCAATTCCGGAGACTCTCTTCACCTCCACACTGTCCATGTCGGGGGCCCGCCCCGCAGTCAGGTAGTACACATCGGGAATTGCTCCCGCCTTCACGTACACCAGGTCCTCGAAGATGAAGTCCATGTTGGGCGTCTCGCACCCCTTGAGGTCTAGTCCACACCGTCCATGTGCTATCCCCGTGCGTCCTCTTTCCACTCTCCTTCTCCATCCAAGGCCAAGGCGGTAGTTCAGGCAAATCACGGGTTTGGTTTGCCACTCGATCATCAGGTGGTGTACCTTCTGGTACTCGAGTTCCACCAGGAGTATGCCGACGACGATCACCAGGCAGTTCCATTGGAGTGAACATTGCCGTAGTTGGTGTCTTCGGGCACGGCGTCCTTTCCGCGGCAGTTGACTGCTGCTGAAGTTGATGTTTCACATCCTTAAGCTCCAGTCTCAATGCTTCATTCTGCCGACGGAGTTCTTCCACCATCTCTAATTCCAATGCCCGCAGTAGCCCATCACCGCGACCATGCCCTCCATGAAATCCCTGATCGTCATGTCGACGTTCTGCATCACGATGACCTTGTTCAGCTATGCCTTCGCCTTTCATCTCCCTCGTTGGTGCCAATCTCTTCTCGGTCACCATCCAGCTCCTCGGTGGCATGGGTGGTTCAGCATTTTGGCCTCCATTGGAAACACTCCCGTTGTCAGCCCTAGGCCAGCCAGGATTGATTGAGATGCCATTCCAGACTCCGTCATCCCCCGACATAGTCCAGTGGTCAGTCCGACCTCGGTTCACCTCCATCTCCAGCTCTCCCCGCTCACGCCCACCATCCACGCTCTGCTCGATGTCAATCACGCTCTCTGCCTCCAACGTCCTGTCATCGAGATCAAGGAGGTCTAGCAGTCCATTATCCGCTGGCTGTAGCTCTTCGGAGGTAGCTGATTCACCCTCCGGCACCATTGGGAGATCCTCAGGTCTCGCTTCTCTCAAGGCCACTTCGGCCTGGATGCGCTCTGACCAGAACGGGTTCACGTTGGACGCCATGGGATCCAACGACCTTCAAACTGAAGGGTGGACTTCTACAGCACCAATCCACCTGTGTGGTTTGGGCTCATAACCTGCAACGGAGTTTGCGCTATTTTTCAGCATAAAAAAGGTCTGCGGTATGTATCAAGATTCGAGTGCTTTGAACGGTGCAAGATTCATTGGGCGGATATGACACGCGCGCGGGGGTATTACACATACAAAAATATGCTGGCGTCCGACGATAGAACATGTTCCAGAACACAAACAGCCCCCAAAGAGCGCCCAGCATCAGCACAGCAGTTGGATTTCATCTCTCTGTCATCAAGGAGTTTCAAACAGTTTTCTCATTGGCGCAAACTTGGGTTGGTGATGTAGGCCTAAACCAGGTCCAGTTTACTTCTGAACATCAACCAACTGCAAATTGCAAGTCGAAACAGTTTGAGGATCCTACAGGATTTCTGGATGTGCACAATATCCACAGGTTTATGGATCATTTGCCATCAAATTGCAGTATCCTGGAAACCACCAAGTCCAAAAAAAACGATGGAAATAGCATTCCGGATAATTCCACCATAGAAAGAGCGGAGGCAAATACGAGAAGCTTGGCATCGAAGGAGGAAGATGCATCCTTGATTTTCTGGTTGTTGTTCTTGGTGATCGCCTTGGATTTACTTGTGACCTGCAACTCCCCAAACAACGGTGCTCCCTTCCTGTGATACTGAAAGGAAACAAAACACGTAGGTCTCAGGCACACGGACATACAACTGGAAAGGAAAGGTTGTAGAGGAGTGTCAAATCATTGTTCCTACATGTTCGTAGTGAACATATCCGATAAACATGTTGCATTTTAAATCCCGCTTGAGAGTTCGCCATGCGGCTGTCATGTATGATCGCTGCTTGCTTCGCTCACTGCATTGCCAAAAGGCCTATGGCACGCACAGCTCACGCGGCTTGCACGGCGGGACGAGACGGCCGACCTCGACCGGTGGGCGGGTCGCTTCCCACAATTACGCGGGTCGCTTCTATTCTATTCCATACACACAAAAGCACACGGTCCGAATCAAGAGTTGAGGCGAGGATTACTTCCCTCCACACCCGAAGTGCACGTGATGCCTTTTCTTACTTGAGGCGAATGTTTTAGGCCTATGGCATGAATCTTGGTGTCCTACTCAGCCACTTCGAACCTACCTGGACAGCATTCAAAAAGCCTGTAAGCCCAGGAACAAACCCAAAGAGCCCTGCGAGCCAGGCAAGCAAAGTGGCAAGGAACTCGGGGGACAGAAACGTCCGATGTGAAAGAGCAGTCCAAACAAATCCAAGGAATGCGAAAACGATGTTCTCCAACAAATTCCAACGAATCCCAGAAGGGAGGTCTCGGCAGGAGCATAGACACAGACTGCATAGACTGGCCGGAGGGAGCCTCAGCCTACTAGTGATGGCCTCCAACCTAATAGCGATGGCCTCCAACCCAAAAATCCCAAAAGCAAGTTGAGACCAAAAGCAGGGCCGGGCTCCAAAGTTGTCACTTATCAGATCTATCTAGTCCTGTCGGGGTTTCATCCCAAACTTCTTGCGATGGTGTTTTGCGCCGATCTCCAAAGGAACTTCAGTAACTTCTAGCAGGTCCTTTCTCACCTGCTCCGTGATCCCTTTCAGCATCATTCCCTTCGGCTTTGGCTGCAGTTGAACAGGCTGTGCGTTGAAGGTGTGATAGCCTGACTCTGGGTTGGCAGTACGCACAGTCTAAATGCTAAACTGTGAATGTCCGAAAACTCTACAAAACAAAAAACACAAAACACTAGGCTTGGAAAGACTGCTCACACAGCTGGGTAGCATGGGTTGGTTTGCTTGATGGAGTCGCCACTCGGGAAGGCATACGGGTTCTGCAAATAGGCTGGGTTGCAGTACTCCTGGCATCTGGCGGGTGGAACCAAAATGCGACCAATGGCAAAGACTCTCTGAACTTATGCCATATACCGGTTGAAGACAGAGGCTAAGGACTTCTGATGATGCGACGCGTGACCGTTTTCAAAGCGCTGGAACTGAAACAATCCGCAGCTAAAGCACTCCCGGTAACATGTTCTTCTGTTTGGCACACAACCATGTACTGCAATCCCCTGTCCTTGTAATCTGGCTGATTGGAATGGAAGGAAAACAGTTGAGGCAGCTTCGGCTTCTGCTTAGGGAAGGGCGTTTTTGGGGTTGATCCTGTCCTTGGTTGCAACTGACACAAACTGGTGCACTGCTGCTTGAAGCTTGTATCTATATACACACTCCAAGGAACAACATACACTCCTTTTGCAGCGTGCGCATTTTTCAAGGAAATCTGGCCAAACAAACCAAACTGATCCCCTCATCTTCACATTTCCTCGAGGTATGGTTTCTTTGAATCGTTCATACTGAGCATCACAAAATCTGCAGAGAGGGCTTCAATGAATGTTGCTGAGAAGGTGGAGCCGTTCAACGTCACTGGACTTTCCTCAGATCGATCGCCATTTGGAGGGTTTCCGGTGCGATGAGTGTGTAAAAGCACTGCAGGTCTGTGACCATTCTCTCTGCGGAGAACAAACTTTGCCCAATTCGCCCGAAAGATGCCAAAATTGCAATCAAATAGATCACACTATGTCACACTGCTCCTAGTAGTAAGGCCAGGAGCCCCTAGTAGCTTCTTGCTCCTAGTAGCGATGCCCTTTGTTCCTAGTAGCGTTCTTGCTCCTAGTAGTGAGGCCAGGAGCCCCTAGTAGCTTCCTAGTAGCGATGCCCTTTGTTCCTAGTAGCGTTCTTGCTCCTAGTAGTGAGGCCAAGAGCCCCTAGTAGCGTTCTTGCTCCTAGTAGCGATGCCCTTTGTTCCTAGTAGCGTTCTTGCTCCTAGTAGTATGGCCAGGAGCCCCTAGTAGCTTCTTGCTCCCAGTAGCGATGGCCTTTGTTCCTAATAGCGTTCTTGCTCCTAGTAGTAAGGCCAGGAACCCCTAGTAGCTTCTTGCTCCTAGTAGCGATGCCCTTTGTTCCTAGTAGCGTTCTTGCTCCTAGTAGTAAAGCCAGGAGCCCCGAGCCCCTAGTAGCTTCTTGCTCCTAGTAGCGACGCCCTTTGTTCCTAGCGTTCTTGCTCCTGAGGCCAGGAGCCCCTAGTAGCTTCTTGTTCCTAGTAGCGATGCCCTTTGTTCCTAGTAGCGTTCTTGCTCCTGGTAGTAAGGCCAGGAGCCCCTAGTAGCTTCTTGCTCCTAGTAGCGACGCCCTTTGTTCCTAGCGTTCTTGCTCCTAGTAGTAAGGCCAGGAGACCCTAGTAGCTTCTTGTTCCTAATAGCGATGCCCTTTGTTCCTAGTAGCGTTCTTGCTCCTGGTAGTAAGGCCAGGAGCCCCTAGTAGCTTCTTGCTCCTAGTAGCGATGCCCTTTGTTCCTAGTAGCGTTCTT